AAAATCTCATCTGATCTTTTTCGATACATCATATCACTTTATCGACACCACACCCTCTCACTAGCGGAGTGAAAGAGGCGTGCGCGGGTTGCTCTCATTAATCTTTCATTTCTACGTTATATTATTAGAGGAACGGGTTTGCACGGATGCTGGGAGGGCGGGAGGGGGGCGTGAACCCGAGTGAACCCTCGGTAGCACCTGCCGTGTCCGGTCGAGGCGGACTGTAGGGATTCCATGGTTGAAGGATCGAAGCCTGCTTCGAAGTGCGAGGGATTTTAGGGGTTAAATGCCCGTTTTCATCATAAATCTTTAATTTTTAAGTGATTCCTATGGTAACATATAACAGGGCATTTTATTTTCAAAGGGGGATTGATGGTGAAAACAGCCAATAGTCATTTTGCACCAGGAGTGATTCGGACTAAATGTGGAAAAGACTAACGGTCTTCTTTTAGAGGTCCAAATTGAAAACTGATGTCACGCTTCATTTTATAACAGTGAGAATCCTGGATCGAAGCCTGCTTTAAAGTGCGAGGGATTTTAGGGATTATGATTATTTTAGGGTCATTTTTTACCAGGAGTGATTCGGACATAAGTTGGAAACGACTAAAGGTCCCATTTTAGGAGGGCTAATCCCCAAAGGTCCACAGCTCTATTGTTCTCAAAAAATATAAGTTCATACTTCCACACTCGTGGACCTGTTGGGACCTTAAAAATAAGAAAGCATTTTCTTAGTAACTGTATTTTGACATGGACCCGGTGGGAAATAGAGAACAATAGAGTCCCGGACCTTTGGGAATAGGGCTTCAATTAAAAGGAGACCAAAAAAATGACGCCACGTTTTGTGTTTAGTAGTGAGAATCCTAATGTGCCCAAATCTCACCTCGTTGATAGATCCGAGATGGATCTGAGAAAATGAGCGATGATAGACTAAGGTTTTAAGGGTTTCTAACACAGGGTGAAGGTTTTGAGACAATCTAGGAATTTCAATTACCTGAGTCTTGTATCAAATAAATATTTTTCTTTCTTTTAAATAATCGACCTGCTAAGTCTAGGTACTTAGTTATTCTAAGAACCAGTTATACTCGTACTTATTTATTAACTACTTTTTAACAAATTAAGTAGCCCACGAATACGAGGCTTTGTTCCCGCACCATAAACCCGTGGTCACCCTGTCTGAGGCTGCCAATACAATTTTGTTGTGCGGAGGTCGTAAAGGTGACTTTTAACGGCAGCCACATTTTTAACTGCGCCAGAGATAAATGCTGCACAGTTAGTTTCAATATCCTTTGTTGTTTTGTTGTTTGATACTTAATTCTAAGAACAAAGATAATTAACTAATTCGATTTCATTAAATAAAAATGTATTTTAAGGAAAAGTTAACTTTCAGTGGTTTCAGAGTATTTTTCGTTCTATGTAGTAATTTTATTCAGGATACTTCTGATTTAGAAATTAAATAGATAAATAGTGCGAGTATTATTTTTAGGGTTCCGTACCTAACCCAATGAAATATGGAAAAGTTTTACTTTACTGAATCATACTATGTAGGTATTAGGCAAGCTGGTTCGGAATCTCCGCACACTGAATCTGATGTTAAGGGCATTTTAGGGCAGTACTTTCTTATCTTTCATATGCATATTCATTTATTTATTGCATCATATCTTTCTACCTATAGTGTCTATACCCTCTTGCTTTGAAACATCATAGTTATCGAGGCTAAACTTATAGTAGACTGATGAATGATTGGCCGGTCAAAAGGTCCAATATTCACCCACAACAGTTACATAGAAATCATATAAACGTGATGATATTTCAACATAGGTATAAACCGCGAACTTAGCAGGAGTAAAGCCAAAAGTTTATTGCCTCATGACCGCCACAGACGCCCCTGCGTATGCGCGGTTGTGCAGAGATTGATTATGGACAGATGTGAACTGTGGTCTTTAGGCATAAAACTAACGAGCTAACATGAAGATAATCTAAAACAATGGTGTTATTCTAGTTTTTAGTCCAAAAATTATTTATCTTCAAAACCTTACACAGACAAATTTAAAAAAAAGTCAACTACAGTGTTGACTGTTGAACTGTGGATCCAAGGTATGGTAGATCGAGCTCCCATCCGCTGGACTATACTGGTAAGGGAACCCGCTCCCATAAGCATATATGGAGGAGCTTAGCCGGATGGGTTAAAGGGGAAAAAAAATTAAACTGCGTCATTTCGAGGATATTTTAACGTTTACCTAGTGTAGGTATAAATGAGTTTTGTATTTTATGGATTGCACCTTTACTTGCTCTATTATGAGAAATTTAAATAAAATATTTCAAGAGACAGAACAAATTAAGCGACAGTTATTTGTAGGCATAAATCAAGTTTATTCTTAGGCAGTGTGTAACTTCTGTGCTATACTTCAATCTTTGGTATAGGGCAGCGCAGGAGTGGACTGTGGTCGTAAACCATACATTCAATTATTATCATCCCCGGACCCTTCACACCAGTAATTGGTGGGCCTCAACACTTAGGTACTATGTGCTGGGGTTGCCATGAATTGCCATTTTAAAGGATCTTAAGAAAACCTGTCCGTCGTAATGTTAATACATTTAATTTATGTATCTTATACACTGCATGATTGTTAAGATTTTTTTAATTTATATAATTTCATACCATGACAATTAATTCATGTCAATTAAATGACTGGTATTTTTTAACATGATTTTACTTTGATTATTAAAAGATATATTCGTATCAGGAAGTCTCCTGCCATTGCAGTACTTTGATAAATAGCTACATTGTGTTGAGTTTAAAAAAAAAAGCTTTTCTTTTATTTATTTTTATTCCTTTGTCATAAATTAATTTCCTCAATTTTTACCAACTTCAACCCTAAACCATGGTCACAACACCGAATAACACTTGAATATAATGACCACTGGCCACAATTGGTTACTTGAAAATAGTTCCCAATGAAGTAAATCAACCGGCGAGATTACTGACCGCTCTGATTTATTGCTGATCTGCTTCCTGAGCTCCAGTTTGTTTTTGCTGTGACTACCAGCGACTATAAATTTGCTTTGAAATAACTCGAATAGTTGTTCTTTACGTATCACATTGCGTCTGTAGGGGTTAAATGTGGTAACATAGTTGTTGAAACTCAATTTGGTGGTTGAGACCAATACCTATCTGGAAAATCGTAGTGAAAGAAAATTAAAAGATAGGGAAAAAGGCACTCATTTTTTTCCTATCTTCTAATTTTCTTCGCCAATGGTTGAATCTGAAATATTGAAATATTTGAAACTAATTAAGGAAAGGAGTTGATTATAAATATTTATAATAGAATAAAATTAAATAATAAAATACCTTTTCAGCGACATAAAAGACGAATTAGTTACGAATAGGTACTTGGTAAGGGAAAATAAATGATTTATTTATTATTTATTACTTGATAAATTAAACTAAACTATTGGTTTTGTTACTCGATTGAATGATTGTACTGCCGATAGTACATAAGACAATACATTTTGTTGCAAAATATCACGTTCCGGTATTTGGTATGATATAAAAAGAACTCTACCTATTCCATGGAAGATAACCTACGATATTCTAGAATTCAACTTTCTAATGTTGAATTTAGGATCAGTTTCAGGGATTTCTCTTTTGCAAATATATTTACAAGCAAATAATCGCTTTACATCTGTAATATTAAGTGTAGATACAGCGATAGCGTGGTGAGATAAACGCCACTGCCTTGCTCCTGTACCGAGGTCGTGCCATCCGCTTGTATCAAGTTCTTATTATAGTACACATTTTACGGAAGCACAATAATATCGCCCATCTCTCTCTATTATTTTTATGATAATTCACATGATGACTTACGAAAACTCTACAACTTAATGACTCGTTTTTATACTTAACAGTTGGCACCCCTGGCGATTGACAGGAACTTACTCTACAGTGGCGCCATCTTGATGAGTGCAAATGCGATAGTCCTCCTACCACTTTAGCGCTCACCAGTTGGTGCCACTGTCTTCGCTACTAGCAGGCCCGCCGCTAGCTGTTTCGTCGCCCGCGTGCAAAACCGATTATGCCGCCCTACGACTACCTACTTAATGAGTTTTGTCAAAAAAAGGCTAATTTAATTGATGTTTTCTCATTTTTCATGCTATGACATATTTTCTTAAACTTAATAGTCCAATCAATTGGTATTTTTTTCCTGCAAAAGGTGGAAAGTAAAATGTTTTAATTTGTATTAAGTATATTTTTATGTATGGGCTAGTTATGAAAAAAGTATGTTTTCGAACTCGAGAGGTCAGAGCGTTAGTCACCATCTTGAGTTAAAGGGCCGAACATTAATTATTTTTTACATTTAACGCTTCAATAGTTGACTATATGAGGAAAATGTCTTTGAGAAGTATAAAGACGATAAAATTTCAATTGTTTAAGTATTTTTATTTATTCTGTGCGTCGCGTTGATAAAAAGTTATACAAGGTAGAAAATTTTCATTTGCACAAAAATCATTGTAGTAGCCTCCCCATCCCTCTTGGGTAGAGGGACGGTGCACACGAGTGTGCGATAGCAGGGAGGGTTAGTGGTGGACGTTTCGTGTGCTACTCCCGCTCTAACCGCACTGGAGCAATGAAGGGTGCGGGAGCGACCCGCTCAATTTCCTCTCCCTTACCCAGATGGGCGCTTACCCGCTTTGATCGGGAGATGGCCAAGGAGGCTGCATTCGTATGCGATAGTCACGGACGGTGATATGGCGGCCAACCAATTAAGAAAATCGTTAATTGAGGTGTGTGATGTTAACATGCCTCGATAACGCTACCGCACACCTTGTCGTGCTGTCTACTGGTGGTCGGCTGAACTAGCTGAGCTGCGTTCACTCGTAGCTGGCGTAAACGTTCACGAGACCCGTCATATGGCTTGCCTTTATGAAATCGGAGCCGCCAAAGACCGAGCGAGGGCAGAAATGCTCGCAAGTTTGGACGACGATACTAACTGTGGGAGATTTTATGCTAGAAACCAACTACAGCCTATTGGTCCTCCACTGACTAAAGAGCAGGCTCTGCTAGACAAGGTTTTGCGAGCGCTCTTCCCGAACCAGTTTGCCTTTTTCGCTCTACCATCCATGATAGATTCCCGCAGTGTCAACTCANTACCAGCATATCCTTGTAATTTCAGGGTTGTCCTAGCTAATTCCCTGTCTAAAATGTTGAGATCTTTTAAGTAAGTTTTTGGTAAGATGTTAACATCGGCTCCAGTGTCTAATTTAAAGTTGATTGGTGTATTTTTTATCAATAGTACAACTGACCAGTCATTATTACTAGAATTGTTATTTATTGTATAAATTACCTGATCACTGGACTCCTCCTGGACCTCGTAAACTTGGCACATTCTTGCGTAATGATTCATTTTATTGCAAGCAATACAGCGTTGCCCAAAAGCTGGGCAGTTGAATTTGTTGTGATTTATTCCACACTTTCTACACATTATGTTTTTATTGCCTTTGGATGTGGATTGTTCATAATTATTTGAAAACACATTTTTCCGCCTCACTGTTTGTTGATTGTGCGTTGACACTTGCGTTTGCGCGGAACCGGAGCCGCTATCGCGACGTCGCGCAGGTTGCCGCCATTTTGAAGTTCGATGCGTAGCTGCTGGCGAGTTACGCGGTCCGCCGCGTCTAACAAAGTGTACACAGGTCTCATCTTGCCGCTGATCAGATACTATTTCGTCGACATGATGCATCTGGGTGTCTGTCTTTATGCTGTTCGCCTGTAGTCTTGATATTTCAGCCAAAGTACAAATGTCAACCGCTTTTGACAATGTTAATTCCGTTTCTCTTAATAATCTTTCACGTAAAGCTCCATCCCTTATTCCACATATCATTCTATCTCGTACTAATTCACTCTTCAGTTGTTCAAATTCACATTTTGCCGCTATTTTGTTCAATTCGAAAACATATTGTTCCACCGATTCCAATTCTCGCTGATTCCGGGTAAAGAATGCATGACGTTCAATCGTAATGTTTTTTCTGGGTAAGAAAAATCGATCGAATTCCTTCAATAAATCCTCTATAGTTTTAATGTCGCCTTTGAATTGCTCATATACCTCACGACACTTTTCGCCTATGATATGCAATAAGATGTTTATTTGTACCTTATTATCCTTTTTCTGTAATTCACAGGCTTCGAAATAAATCTTGAAGGCATTTTTCCACTTTTCCCAATCCTTACTCAGATTTCCAGAAGTAACGTTCGTTATATCATTTTCAAAAATAAACGGTTGCGGTGGTTGCAGAATTGACTCCATAATTATTGCTTGAGGCTTCTTTGTTGATAATAAATGTTGTTATAACACATATGAACTTCATCAATTCTCACTTATTGCATTATGTTAATGCTAACATAAGTTCTTTTCGTATTTTACGACCTCCGACTGCGCCATGTTAAAGTGTCAGGGACGGGGCGCGTTAGTGAAACAAGCTGGCTAGAACAAGACTGATTTATTTCTATTATTCGTGGTTTACACCTACCTCACATTGAGCAATATAAAAATATAGAATTACCCACAGTTAAGGCATTGAATTTTGAACTTAATGTAAATGAAATAAAATTGAAAATGGATTGAAAATTTTTTTTCTTTTTTTCACAGCGAGACGGGAGTACGATGACCTCCAACGCCGCCACAACATCCTCACCGAAGAGAGGAACCATCTGGACGCCGAGCTGAGAGAGAGGGAGAGAGAGCTGAACAAGCTTAAGAATGTCTCCGAAAAGCTGTTCAGAGAGTACCAGCAGCTGAAGAACCAGCATGAAGTCGACGCTGGAGTTATGCATAAGTGAGTCACTTGATTTTAAACATTGTTATGCTCGTTTTTACGGACAAATTACTGATTTAGGGAACTCATAGGCATGGGTGTACTAAGGGGGGTCAGGAGAGGGCAGCTGCCCCCCTGGAAATTGTAAGCCCTTAGTTAGAGCAGCATGCATGAGGATCAGAGAATTGTATCCGCCTAAACGTGAATTCGCGATTTGAATAAGTCTCAATTTCTTAAGCCACAAGTACAAAATTGACGTGAGTGTTGCTTTTTGACAGCATGCATTTAATTCACTAAGGACACCCTACCCTACTTTCCCCCGGCACAAACTTGACCTTCACTGGTTGGGTTTTTATTGGCGGTCAAGCTGTGGATCCTGGCTACACAGGAGTTACAGTGGTGGGAACGAGAAGTGGGAATAGACCCGTACCTTTTTTTTTTTTTTATGCATAGCAAGGCAGGTATTTGACCACAATCTATTGTCTTTACACACACACACACATATTACTAAGAGTAGTAGAATTAACCTTTTTTGTTTGATCAACTATAAATCATATCATCCTGTATACCTACGCTATACGTCCTACATACATTCACAGCCAAACTGTCCTGTAACTGCTAAATGACTTTAGTTGGTTAACCTTATAGATTAGTTCAGGCGTTGTCAACCGCTATCCGATGTTATCTGCCCATTAGCTGAACGATTTTTAATGTATTCCTTATCTTATCTGTAGGAAAATTCGACTTTTGAAATATCATTGATCTTTGTGCTTCTATTTCAGTATAGGATTAAACTGAATAACTTTCTAAGTAATAATACGGCTATATGAGCTCATATTTTACCAGATTGCCGGAAATGGCCGGGTTACAAAAGCGTTCGCGGGTTCGAATTCCGATAGAGACAAATATCAATGTACTATTTATTTGCCTCTATCAAAATTAATTATTAAAATGTTAGAATTTCAGACTTGCATATTAAACTAATCTTTTAAAAGTCGTTAAAAAAGTGTCTCCATAGCTCAGTGATTAGATCAGTTGCCTTGCCTAAGGTCGTGGGTTTAATTCCCGCATCGATTTTTGCAAGTTTTGAAAAAAAAAAATGCTTCATTTATATCCGTCTTTTAGTCGCTATAAATAGATTGTAGATGGAGGTTCCATTTTAGTTTTGCGCTAGATACCGTAAAATGATCAAGGATATTAATAATAAATTATGCATTTAGGACAACTCAAACTTGCAAAGATCAGCATATCAATATATTACCAATTAAAATATATTTATAATTAAAATCAATATTCCTGTATAATATGGTCAAGCTTAACAACATTAACTATACATAATATGTTATTATGTAATAATGCATATCGATTACAATAATTTACATAAATTAATATTGAAATCCACTTTGAACGAGCATATTTATCAATTTCTGTCGCCACGCGCTTTCTACGCTTATACCGAGGCATTTAGTTGCAAAAATTATGATAAGTATGCAAAATAAGGATTTTATAACTGTTTTCACATTTGGTACATTTTTAACGCAGTTTACTTCCGGCTGTGGTGTTGGCGTGACCTATTGGAAAGATACTTTAAATAATTTAAATTATGAAGTGGTCTCGAGTGGTTAGTTAAAAGTGGTGTTATTAAAATATAGGACAAGATGTAAGTTCGATAAAGTGAGAATTTTAGAAACTAATATGAGTTTATATATTAATATTTTAAAATCGTATAGCGATCGTATTTCTTTCATTAAGTTTAAGGCCCAGAACAGACGGTGAAACGCAATTGCAACGAAACTGCAACTGCTAGTAACTTTTGAGTTGCATCTAAGTTTCTGCCATAGCGTCTGTTGAGAGACCACACATGACACGACCAGTTTGAAACTTTTAGTTTCATTCATAAGAATCATCAGAAAGTTGCAGTTTCGTTGCAGTTGTGTTTCACCGTCTGTTCTGGGCCTAACAGATGTAAGTAACATACTTTCTATAGCAACTGTCTACAGTATTTTTGCGCACGGGTTATGCATAGCTTATTTTTATTGCTTTATAACCTAGAAACAATAATAACAACAAAAAATTGTTCTGAATTTGCTTTTATGTGTAAAAAATAGAAAAATTCATATCAATGAATGTATGAAACATGAACATAGAGATGATTTAATTTGTTGCCAAATGTTTTTTTTTCTTTCTTTCTTTCATTCTTTCTAATTATTAAAACATAACGAACATCCATTTAAGATTCATTCTCACAAGAGAAAAATTAAAATAGAGTCCAAATGTTTATTAAAAATTAAAAGTTCTAATTTCCTGTCATGTTCCATAGAAGATTTTTTTCATAAAAATCTAACCCTATCATGCTTTCAGTATACTGGCCTTGGTAACGTCGTTTCTCAAATCCCGCTATATTTTGATGAAAGCGTGCCCCTTGTTCTTGCGAATAAGCCCCCATAATTATTTATAAATATATCCCAATGAGAATGTGACGTGCATCTTTAGAGACATTCTACTATGAAGATGGAAAATTCAAATCGCTATAACTTTTTAAAAAGCAAATATTTTCGATTTGGAATCGCACTTTTTTATATACATTTGCTTATATAATCAGAATATAATAAGTAAAATCCATGCGCAAAAAAAAATTTTTTTTTGTTGACCGGTGTAGTGTGCGTGTTGTTCAGAGGGTTATGGTTCATCCTGCCACTACTAAACTTCTAAGGGCGGTCGAGCCCTTGAGCTGAGGGGTCAAAATACAAAATCATCTTTGTTTATACTAATTAAATTAGCACTTGCAAATCGTCAAATGCCAATCAATTGAGGAGCCTTTAGCTTTTACATGTCTATGCTCTTAAGGGGCCTTTAGCCTTATGTCTCATTATTTTTTTGCCTAGTCGTAATCTTTTAGTGGATGCCGCGTACCGAAAAACCACCTACAAGATAGACCGACGACCTGATAAAGGTAGCAGGAAGGCGCTGGATGCAGGCCGCTACCAACCGTGCGATGTGGAAGTCATTGGGGGAGGCCAATGTTCAGCAGTGGACGTCATGTGGCTGAAATGATGAGGATGATACAACTCCACTACTGCAACTACTGTGTAGCCCGGATCTATCTAAAAACCCAACCAGTGTAGGTCATGTTTGTCCCGCGGGAAAGTGTAATTACATAGTAACGGTCGCAGTCTCCTGGCTCAGTCTCTTGTCTCGGCCACTTTTCTCTGTCGCGACGCGAACCGCCACCTTTTGTTTTGTTACCTGTCATCCGCTTTGCATTGGAAAGAAAGAAAGAAAAATATTTATTCGATGCATGTAGGTACACAGCAAGATAATAACTAAGACTAGACAACAGAACGTCTACAAGCACCAAAATGGCATCAGCTCAGTATACGCCGTGACGGCAGAGAGCGCATCACGACCACTGGTATTCTGCGGATGCCAGTTGAGGTAAAGGGCGCAGCTCGCCCAGGAACAATCGGTTAACGTAACAAGTAATTTTAAACATAGATACAGCCTAGACAGATTATTTTTTAATTACATTACTTATGTATAGCTAACATTCTAATAAAAAACAGCCTGTATAGTATTTTAAGCAATAGTATGTTGTCGCCAGGGTTATGCAGCAAGCTGGCGAGTGGTACAAGCAAAACAAGCAGCTGAAGCGCCGCAGCACCGCGCTGCTTCAAGCGCTGCCGGCGCGCGCCGTTGACATCGACCTAACCGACTCTACTGACACAGGTAAACCATAGAGATATAAAGGGTGTTGGTTTCAATCCTCGCCATATTTAGGGAGTTGATTAAGTAACTTATTCTGATCACGAATCGGTAAAAAAATTGACATCGAAAAAAAATTAAAACGGACTTTAACTTTAGGTAGTATTAAAGGCCGGTCGATCTATTCTCTTAAATAAAACACTGGATACTCATCTTTCACATTATATTGCCTTATTTTAATTACAATTCATCACTTAGCACAAAAGCGCGCGGAGTCGTCTCCGCGCGTCCCTCTATTCTGACGTTTGATCCTAGTGTGACATTGACGTATTGTCAATGTCACTATGACAGCATCTTATTGGCCACAACGATACCGTTATTTTAACGTTTTAGATTTTTCATAATTAACAGTAAGTTAAAGAAAAACACCTTTCACACTACCTACTTTACGTGACTTCCTTCAGTAGGTTATCCAACATGATAAGCGAGCGATCTGCGTAGCTTGATGGGTGCCGCGGTGTAAACTATTGCAGTATTGCGAGCCATAGTTCAGTTGATTTCGCACAGAAATTATTCGCTAAAAATTCCACTTTCGTTTGTAATTTTTTTGTGGGATAATGCGTTTATACAAGTCATAATATATCACCTAAATAAATATGGCGAGGATTGAAAACGACACTCTGTAGAGAGATGCGGATTAATGCGCTGAGTTCGAAACTCAGTGTCGCATTAGAAATTCACACACACAAACTAATCTAAATATGTGCTCATTATCCACTGCGGTATCAGTACTCAACGTTCGAATAAACTTTAGTACTACGCAAGCAATGTAAACTGTTTACATTATGACGTCGCTGCTGTCATCATTGCTGTCGCGAGCAATGTGTTCTGTTTTTGGGCATATTGTTGCGACACCGGCCCCGCCCCCTTGTCACATCTCCCTTTATTTTTTGTGATCTATTTAACTAATCTAAAGCTTTGTTCGAACTACTCGAATAATTTAGTAGAGTAACTCGCCTTCAGTAACTAAACTACAGTTACAGTACAGTTTTTTTTACTAAAAAAAAACTGTACGCACTTTTGTCTAGTACAGTTATATTTATAACAATGAATACTATTTTAAAGACTGTAAACCCTTGAAAAAGATGCTGACAATAGGGACTGAGTTTCTTGCGCTGTTTTTTCGCGTCAGCTCGGCGACTAAGACGCGACGACATGCTGCGGGCGACAATTTCATATATTTTGTTTAAAGATTCGCACACTTGGCGTCAGAGTCGCGACGACAAGCTAATATATGACAATTGATAAGAATAAGCGTTTATAAGTCCGGTCGCCGAGCAGATAGAATTTAGTCCAATGACCTCAAGCAAGCTACCTAGCCTTATCGCTCACCCGTAATTATATTGCTGTCGCGCTCGCACACTCACTGCGGCCGTCGGTCGCACAGTCGCGACAGCAATATAATTACGCTGCGAGCGATAAGGATGGGTAGCTAGGGGTCATTGGACGAAATTCTATCTGCTCGGCGACCGGACTTTAGTTGTTGCTGTCGCGTGTCGCCCAGTGTGCTACACTTAAAGCCAGTCGTGAATAATCTATCATGAGAGTCAGCGGCGAATACTTATGTCAGCGCTGCAGCTGGACCGGCTTGGGGTTGGTATCTTTCAGAGTATAATGAGCGAACCTACTTCCGAGTCGGCTAGTATGTTGTGTGGCATGGTAATCAGTCGTAGACCCTAACAATAACATTGTAATAATACTAAAAACACAGAATAATAATGTAGATAGGTACAATAGGACTGGCATGTCTTTGTAAGATAAAAGTCCTTTATCAAATAAAAAGATTAAAAAAAATAAAAAATCTATTATCATCTCCAGCGTCAGATACCAGCAGTAACGAGGAGGTGGAGTTCCTGAAGCAGACGGTATGCGAGCTCAGCCGGCAGACGGCCGAGCTACAGACCGAGCTCAGCGCGGCCAAGCTGCACGAGTTCGAAGCTCACGAGCTTAACGTGGCACTCGCACAGGTAATAAATAAGCTTATTAATAATCTCTTTATAATTTCCATTTGCGATTACCTATAAATGGCTAAGCAGATACATAATTTAAGGTCCCATTATTTTTATTGTATTGCTGTTGGTTTTCCGAATAAAATAAATCTTCTATACAGGGTGGAAACGTTAAGTGATCTCACTCGATTATTTCTAAACTATAAAAGATATCGAAAAACTGATTACTGATTCTGAAAGTGCTTCACAAGCTCTTTCAAACGGTACCAATAATAGGTTACAGAATAAACTGGATCTATCCGAAAATTCAATGTTTCCAGCTTCCATACATTTAGTAAAACCACATAATATTAAAAACTATACCAAATATTCAAAAACTGATTACTGATCCTGAAAGTTCTTCACGAGCTCTATCCAACGGTACCAATAATTTGGATCCATTCGAAAATTCAATGTTTCCAGCTTCCATACATTTAGTGCAGCCACAGTCATGGCACTCGTGTCTTGTTAATATTATAGCAAGTAAAGCCTAAAACCAATGTTTTCCAAGAATAATTTTAAATAAGAATGCTATTTAAGAGTTCATCATCATTTTAAGTGTTTGTTATTTAATAAAAAATAATCTATTATTGTTTGGCTGGCATACATTTAGTATGGAGGCTGAAAACATTAAATTTTCGGATAGATCCAGTTAATTCTGTAACCTAATATTGGTACCGTTGGATAGAGCTTGTGAAGTACTTTCAGGGTTAGTAATCAGTTTTTCGATATCTTGTATAGTTTAGAAATAATCGAATGAGATCACTTATCGTTTCCACCCTGTATATGGTATGGTAATCAGTCGTAGACCCTAACAATAACATTGTAATAATACTAAAAACACAGAATAATAATGTAGATAGGTACAATAGGACTGGCATGTCTTTGTAAGATAAAAGTCCTTTATCAAATAAAAAGATTAAAAAAAATAAAAAATCTATTATCATCTCCAGCGTCAGATACCAGCAGTAACGAGGAGGTGGAGTTCCTGAAGCAGACGGTATGCGAGCTCAGCCGGCAGACGGCCGAGCTACAGACCGAGCTCAGCGCGGCCAAGCTGCACGAGTTCGAAGCTCACGAGCTCAATGTGGCGCTCGCCCAGGTATGGTTGATAATCTATTTATTTATAACAAAGTCGTGTTAGTTTTACCGTTTATAGTTTGAAGAATAGTGGGATAATTATGGTTGGAGCAATTTTTATGATGTTTTTATTTTTGTTTTATAACCTTGTCACTTGGCAGGATAGCACCAACTCCGAAAATATCAATCATGTTATAATTATGTTCCTAGTAAATAAATAATGCTATTATTTTAAAACAATGAATGGATTGATTGAAAAGCGACTAAAATAAATGACTTTTGTAACTGAAAATCAATATGGCTGAATATTATGACTGTATCATCTTACTTTAACTTTAGCAAACGTCAAAAATCTGTCAAACTCCATACATAAAACACCGGTTATTATTATTGTTACGGTTACCGCAACTCAGCTTATGTAAAAAGTTAGCAGAAAGTATTTAAGCTGATTTCGCTTACAATAGTCAGCTAAAAGAAGTTATCTCATGAACCAGTTATGTTATATCATTCCCTCTCGTTCCAGGAAGTAGAAACAGAGCGAGAGAAATGCACATCCCAACAGAAGGAGTTAGAAGAGTTACGCAATCAACTGGAGCGACACAACCGCGTGTCCAAGCTGCTCGTCGACGAAGTGTCCGCGCTCAAGAACAACGCCGACAAGGACAGGGAGATGGCTGAGACGTGAGTGCGACAGGGATAGCAATATTATTAACCTAAAGCTGATGTTAGACGAGTGTATACGACAAAGATAGGTGCCGATGTCCGAGTGCGAGTGCGACAGAAATAGCATTAAGGGTAGAAGTCAATGACAAATAATGTGGGCGCTTAAAGAACAATGAAGATAAGGGTAGGGACATGGTTTAAACGTGGTGCGATAGAGATGTGCCAGCATTGAGTGTGTCATCATCATCGTCATCATTTTAGCCACAGGACGTCCACTGCTATAGGCCTACCCCAATGATTTCTATATGTAGCGGCATCTAGCGGCTTTGTGTTATCTTTATGAGGTCGTCGGTCTCATTGAGTGTGTACTAGGTCAAAATGGGGCATCTATACTTTGTGTTGGCTTATTCCACTATTCCCCGTTGACAATCCCCGTCAACGGGGATAAGTGAACTTTTTGTTCACTATTCCCCGTTACCGTTAAATGAGGGTTTTCGCGAATGAAAGATCCGCTAGATGGCGGGACGTGGATGTGGGGTCCGACTGCTGCGTGATTGGTGGATTTTGACATATCTGTCAATGTCATGTCAAAAATAACCAATCCGGCAGCATTTAGACCTCGCGTCTACGTATTGCCATCTGGCGGATTTTTCATTCGCAAAAACCCTCATTGGATCTTATAATGGGGAATAATGAACTACAAACTTCATTAAAAACCAATTTGTATTTCTGTGACGTATCAATGTACCAAACATTCCTTTCTTCCTCTCTCCAGATACAAATCCGAAGCGCGTGATGCTAAAAAGCGTGTCAAACTGCTCACTCATCAGAGCACGCTGCTCATGGGGGAGTTAGAAGCTGATGAGCGACTCATGCTGCTTCTGACCGAAGTGGACAGCCTCAAGGACGCGTTGGAGAACCAGGCGCTCAGGCACCACGAACAAGTGGAGGAGTTGCAGGTATGAGGAGCTAGTCAAAGAGCAATTGAGGAGTTTTAGGTATGAAGGAGCGATTTGAAGAACTGCAGGTAAGAGGAGTGATTGAGGAGCTGCATGTATTAGGAGTAAGTCGAGGAGATGCAGGTGTATGAGGATCTAGTTGAGGAGCTACAGATGTGAGGAGTAACTTAAGGAGCTACAGGTGTGAGGAGTGATTAAGGAGCCGTAGGTATTAGGAGTGAGTCGAGGTGCAGGTGTCATGAGCAATTGGGGAGTTGTAGGTGTGAGTTAAGGAGCTACAGGTGTGAGTTAAGGAGCTACAGGTGTTAATTAAGGTGCTACAGGTGTGAGTTATGGAGCGACAGGTGTGAGGAGTGTCTTGAAGAGATGCAGGTGTCATGAGAAATTGAGGAGTTGTAGGTATGAGTTGAGGAGCTACAGGTGTCAGGAGTGACTTGAGGAGATTCAGGTTTATGAGGAGCTAGTTTAGGAGCTACAGATATGAGGAATTAGCTGCAGATGTAAGAAGCGGGTCAAACTGCTCACTCATCAGAGCACGCTGCTCATGGGGGAGTTAGAAGCTGATGAGCGACTCATGCTGCTTCTGACTGAAGTGGACAGCCTCAAGGACGCGCTCGAGAACCAGGCCCTCAGGCATCATGAGCAAGTGGAGGAATTGCAGGTAGGAAGAGCTAGTCAAAGAGCAATTGAGGAGTTTTAGGTATGAAGGAGCGATTTGAAGAGCTGGAGGTAAGAGGAGTGATTAAGTAGCTGCAGGTATTAGGAGTGAGTTGAGAAGCTGCAGGTGTCATGAATAATTGAGGAGCTGCAGATGTATGAGGAGCTAGTTTAAGAGCTACAGATATGAGGAGTGACTTGAGGAGATGCAGGTGTCATGAGCAATTGAGGAGTTGTAGGTGTGAGTTGAGGAGTTACAGGTGTGAATTGAGGAGTTACAGGTGTGAGTTAAGAAGCTACAAGTGTCAGGAGTGACTTGAGGAGATTCAGGTTTATGAGGAGCTAGTTTAGTAGCTGCAGGTATGATGAATTAGCTACAAGTGTGAGAAGCGGGTTAAATTCCTCACTCATCAGAGCACGCTGCTCATGGGGGAGTTAGAAGCTGATGAGCGACTCATGCTGCTTCTGACTGAAGTGGACAGCCTCAAGGACGCGTTGGAGAACCAGGCCCTCAGGCATCATGAGCAAGTGGAGGAATTGCAGGTATAAGGAGCTAGTCAAAGAGCAATTGAGGAGTTCTAGGTATGAATAAGAGGAGTGATTGAGGAGCTGCAAGTAAGAGAAGTGACTTGAGGAGCTTTAGGGGTCATGAGCATTTGAGGATTTGTAGGTGTGAGTTGAGAAGCTACAGGTGTGAGTTAAGAAGCTACAAGTGTCAGGAGTGACTTGAGGAGATTCAGGTTTATGAGGAGCTAGTTTAGGAGCTACAGATATGAGGAATTAGCTGCAGGTGTAAGAAGCGGGTCAAACTGCTCACTCATCAGAGCACGCTGCTCATGGGGGAGTTAGAAGCTGATGAGCGACTCATGCTGCTTCTGACTGAAGTGGACAGCCTCAAGGACGCGCTGGAGAACCAGGCGCTCAGGCATCATGAGCAAGTGGAGGAATTGCAGGTAGGAAGAGCTAGTCAAAGAGCAATTGAGGAGTTCTAGGTATGAATAAGGGGAGTGATTGAGGAGCTGCAGGTGTATGAGAAGCTAGTTTAGTAGCTGCAGGTGTCATGAGCAATTGAGGAGTTGTAGGTATGAGTTGAGGAGCTACAGGTGTTAATTAAGGAGCTACAGGTGTGAGTTAAGAAGCTACAAGTGTCAGGAGTGACTTGAGGAGATTCAGGTTTATGAGGAGCTAGTTTAGGAGCTACAGATATGAGGAATTAGCTGCAGGTGTAAGAAGCGGGTTAAACTGCTCACTCAGGAGAACCAGGCGCTCAGGCATCACGAGCAAGTGGAGGAATTGCAGGTAGGAGGAGCAATTGAGGAGTTTTAGGTATGAAGGAGCGATTTGAAGAACTGCAGGTAAGAGAAGTGATTGAGGAGCTGCAGGTATTAGGAGTAAGTCGAGGAGATGCAGGTGTATGAGGACCTAGTTGAGGAGCTACAGATGTGAGGAGTAACTTGAGGAGCTACAGGTGTGAGGAGTGATTAAGGAGCCGCAGGTATTAGGAGTGAGTCGAGGTGCAGGTGTCATGGGCAATTGGGGAGCTGAGATGTGAGTTGAGAAGCTACAGGTGTGAGTTAAGGAGCTACAGGTGTGAGTTAAGAAGCTACAAGTGTCAGGAGTGACTTGAGGAGATTCAGGTTTATGAGGAGCTAGTTTAGGAGCTACAGATATGAGGAATTAGCTGCAGGTGTAAGAAGCGGGTAAAATTAAGAACAAAACAAGGGCAGAGTTCAATAATTCACGCCCTCATCATAAGGCAAACATCTGTGCACAACAACTACTGTGACCCATTTTTGTACTACCACGTTGTATAGTCTAGTTATTTCCAAATTGTAAACGGCTATTAAACCAGCCCTATCGAAATACAGTCTACTCTTTTATTTAAGTTCCCAGTAGGACCCTTTTCATGCGATTAATTAATGATATTAAAATGTATTAAGTAGAATCGCTTTGCCATTGACAGATACGTCTGATGACAGAGCTTACATTATTTCTACTTTTGACCACCATGAGCGCTGCGATAGATTATATTACCCCCACCTAGTACTTCGCACCCAGCGAATATCTGATTTGGAATTTACATTTAATTTCAATTGAAGATCACTACAGAGTTTGATAAGGTCGTGTTTTTCTGGAATCTGTTTTAAATTGTACAAAAAAGACCAAGATTCTGAGTACTCACATAACTGTTCAAATCTTTCGTTGAGTGAAGTTAACGTCGTGTCCAAAAGACAGTTGAAAAATTCAACCTCAAATTTTTTTTCTGGAGAAGTTTTAGGCTCATCTTGGGCAGTTTCACCAGCTTGGCGCTTAACACGTCGAATTCTNCAGATATGAGGAATTAGCTGCAGGTGTAAGAAGCGGGTCAAACTGCTCACTCATCAGAGCACGCTGCTCATGGGGGAGTTAGAAGCTGATGAGAGACTCATGCTGCTTCTGGAGATGTCAGCGAGACTTCAGATCTCGTTCAGATTTGTCACTCCTGTGCCACTCCCATACACTGATGCCCGTTATCACCAACAATCAAAATTCTTATTATTTGTTACCATAGGGGTCACTTAAAAATTAGGGATTGATGGTGAAAACGCGCATGGCCCAATTAAGCAACCTATAGTTTAGGGGTTGCAGGACTTGCAGGCATAAGTGAGCAGCTGTAGGTGTAAAGAGTGAGTTGAGGAGTTATAGAGCGGTATGAAGAGCAGATAAAAGGAGTGACGACATGGTAGAACTGGAAGCGAGTGAGAGGCTGATGCTGACGACGTATTGTCGTATAGATTATTTATTTGTCTCATTCGCTATGTTAGGTAAGGTGGCCGACGCTAAGTTGGTAGTTAAAACAATTTTGTTAGTTGGGACCTGCTCTAAGCGGGCTCCTTCAAGCGTGTCTGTATCGAAAGACAGAACTGTGGGGATATAAGTCTTCGAATTTCTATTGATGTGTATCCCAATCCATCTTGAATTTCTTGCGTTCCTAACAAAAATGTTCATTTATTTCCAGCTAAAACTGGCAGAGAAGCACGAAGACACAGATATCCTGCTCTGGGAAGAAAAGATCCGCTTAGCGGAGGATGACGCGCGCCGAGCGGTCGAGCGAGCGGAGCGCGCTGAACGGAGGCTAGCGGAGATAGAGCGGAGACTAGCGGAGGTCGAAAAGAAGCCGCTGAAGAAGTCCAATCTCTTGTCCAGGATCAGTTATTTTGAGAATGGCGGCGAAGCGAAAGAGGAAGTGGAGGTTACTCGTAAGTATTTATCATTAAGAATTCTAATTCTAAGAACATTGTTACTAACTCTACTAATATAGTCTCTAAGTTCAAATTGTTACTAACCAAACTATGGACTACTTTTGTCTGAAAATAAATGATTTTTATTTTTATTTTATTTATTTATTTTATTATTATTAATTGGCCTTAGACCACTAGACAAAAATGTGTGATTCAATTTCCTTATCGCTTTATGAAGCTAAGTAGTTACATAATGTATTATAAAACTTTTAGGAATGTCTCTGGCTGTCAGATTGGCTAACTGAGTCAATTCACGGCAATTTTCATCCAATTTTTTATAGGCACTTGTTTTCCTCAATTTCCCAAAGTTAGTTTTTTTTCCGTTTTCACCATCAATCTTTAATTTTTAAATGACCTTTATGTCAACAAAATTCCTGTTATTTGTCACCATAGGGGTCACTTAAAAATTAGGGTTCGATGGTGAAGACGGGTATAAGATTAATATTTTACAACTAAATAGTTGAAACTTAAGTTGAATAGTATTTGTACGGTTAACAGCACGTCAACGTAAACATTGTGGTATCTTACGTAGTTGCGATAGGGGCGACTTCGCAACGAAAATGTATAGCTTGATGTGCTGTCGACTGTACTATAATGGATAGAAATAGATAAAAATATTTTAAACAGTTAAATAATTAAAAAACGTACGTATCTACTTTATACGCTGTGATATCGTACACATGATGATTGATAGTTTCACTTACCTTCCTCAAACTTTGTGCTTAAATTTTAAATTCTGTTTCATTCCAGCACCACCCCCAGAACGGTCTCCCTCCCCACCGCCCGCGCCTTCCATCCCTCCACCCCCCACCTCCCCTCGTACTTCCACCCCCTCCGCCCCCTTCATTACCCCCTCCGCCGCCACCGCCACCGCCACCGCCGGTAGCGTTCATGGGGGAACATGAGGACATGGCCACGTTGCTGGCTAGTAAGCAAGGGACGTTGAAGAAGACTAAGCAGAATGGAGGTATGTTATTTTGCGTAATATTTTTTGGACATATTTAAGCAACGAAGTAACGGGTGTAACTTTTTTTGGACATAGCAACGAAGTAACGGGTGTAACTTTTTTTGGACATAGCAACGAAGTAACGGGTGTAACTTTTTTTGGACATAGCAACGAAGTAACGGGTGTAACTTTTTTTGGACATAGCAACGAAGTAACGGGTGTAACTTTTTTTGGACATAAGCAACGAAGTAACGGGTGTTTTTAGAGGCATACAACTTTAAATTGGTTACACTGTTTCTAGTGATAGTTAATTTGATAGTTGGTGGTACATTTGTGGTATGTTTTGGCATTTCATAATTAAATAGAATTACATCTCGATTACGCTACATTTGAGCTAACCTTGGGACCCTTAGGCCCGAAATCATTTTTGAGCATAAATGCCATAAGAACATCTTTTAAACAAGACCAATGACCATATGAATATAATATATTTTTACATATTTTATTTCATTTTTAAATTGTATACCTCTAAAAAAACACCCTATATTTGCGCTCGCTGGTAGAGCAGTGGGCTTACGATGCGCGCCACGATAAACTTTTATCAAGGCATTTTATCGATTGTAAGCGATAACCCTATACATTTGTTTAGTATTTCGGAACCTTCCAGCGCCTTTTCCCGTGAATTCGTACGCGATAGTCCTCATTAATTTTAATTTATTATCCAATCGTCGTTATTATATCGTACAATTTCTTTTACTTCAATTTTGTAAACGGCGATTGAATTGGCTATCTTTTGTGGCATTTATTGTAAAGTGCCTTCGACATTTTATAGAACAACGAGCGTTTGTAAACTGACGATGCCGTTTGTAAAATATCATACAATTTGCCTGCGACATATAGACGACATCTCATCAAGATAAAAAAAATGTTATGTAGTTGTTATAGTAGGCACTATTTTATAATCTTACTGTCCTGTCGCCTGTACTTATAGTACTGTATGAAACTCGTGTAAGTAATTCAATTAATCTAAACAAATTAACAACTCTCCTCCAGGTGGAGCCATAGACGCGATAGTAGACCAGATCAAAGGCGGCAAGTTCCAGCTTAAATCCCGGGAACAGAACCCCGAACCCCGCCCCAAGGACGAGCAACCAGAAGCGGTTAAAGAAATGCTCGCTATACTCGGCACGCTGCGCAAGAGACGCAGCGTCAAGAGGGACTTCAGCGACGTGTGACACGTAAGTTTGTGATTGGTTATTCTTAACGCAGTAGGGGATCGGTAATACAAATAATTATTTAAAATTATACATGGTAACACGTTTGAAAATGTATGCAAAGTTGACCTATAATATAAATAATATTTAATAACATTTCTAACACTCAAAGATATTTTTTGTTAATAAAATAATATCGCTTGTTTCAGAAAACCATCTCATAAATAGGATTCCTGCATAATGCCAATTAGACAATATAATAAGTATTTTTAGTTTTAACACTGATTATGTCTTCCTTTGACAATATTTTATAAATACATATTATTTAAATTTCGACCACAATATTTCGATGATGACTACTGACAACTAGTGTTGCCTAACTATCGATAGAGCATAATATCGAGAGTAAATATCCCCATTTATGTTACGAAATTACTCTTTTAACTTTATCACACATTACAATAATTATATTAACATATTTTCTATTCTATATCGTATTCAAACTTCTCGTACAAAAGATATAATTGTAACAAAACATATCCATGCGCATTTCTCTTTATATGTTTTATAAAAATATATGACAATGTTTTATAAGTACAGTAGAAATATTATATTTATAGAAAAATATTAAGGCTTTAGATCAATATTAAATGAATGGTTGGGTTGTTTGTAAGTTTGTTAAGGCGGAACATGGAAAAAGAAATGTTTACTTATGTAAAAATAACGTATGCTATATTAAAAGTTGAAACCGTAAATTATTATTATACATATTAAAACAAGTGGAAAAATCATAAAAAAACGTATTTTATAATTTTCCAACAGGGATAGAGTGTAGTGTTGCCATAATAAAAAGTTATTTGAAATCTTTTGAAAATAAATGTGCGTATGTTATAATATTATTTTCGGGCGAACTATAACTTATTTGATGTCGGTATATGGAAAGACTGAATTGAAGGTCGTGTAAACTATTTTTGATATTCTTAAAAGCTATTGTCAAATTTATTAGTACAATATTATAAAATAATGTCTGCACATCAGATTATGCATTTTTTCATGCAAAATGAGCTATTACAACTGATTAAGACTCATATTACCAGGAATTGATTACTGCCATTTGTAATTCCAAATTGCCATGTTTAATATTAGTACAATAATAATATTTATTTGAATATAAATAAATAAGAGGAAATTTTTGTATTGTATTGCTAAGATTTTACAAAAATAAAGATATTTAAAAAAGTTAGATGTGGAATTCTCAAATTATCAACAGCTTTTAAAACGTACTGGCAAAATAATGTATATTACGTGTAGATTTAAAAATTACAGATTTTTTGAGAAAGATTTATTAAATACTTATGACTGTATACAAAATATTATAAAAGATTTTTGACGTGATCTGAAATACTCTCAGAATAATATTCATTGAATATGTTAGTGTTAAATGAGACCTATTGTTATTTTTATGTATACGATAGTTTTTTATTATAAAACTATAGATTAAAAGAGTGCAAATTCAGAGACAAGATACTTTCAATCGATTGGTATTTTCAGAGATGCGTCTTTTTCTCACTTAGGTGATTAAAAAAAGACATAAATTGACGGTTTTATAAGAATATCTCTGAATTTGCACCATAAAGTTACGATGTTGATATTAATGCATGAGAATTGATATTTAAAAGTTACCGACGGTGCCAATGCTTTTGATCGAACCGCATCAAAATTGGCCAAGCATTTCTCTGTAAAGTATTATTTAGGTTTTAAGCTATTAGTTTTTATTATGAATAAATATTTTGTATTTTGATTCAATTGTTTTAAATTTAGACAGTTAAGCTAAATAAGGAACTTAAAAATATATTTTTTTTAGGAAATGTGCATGTGGCATTTATACGTCGCCATTTTGACAGTTGTGGGCGTGGCTTATCGCCATATTTAGCGTCAATTCGTATAACATGTGACGTCACATTTTATACAATGTTTTATTGTAAAGGTCGGGTTGCATTTGTGTGGTGCGGCGCTGCATAAAGCATCGAAATATTTTATACATTTTGTATAGTGATGTCGTATTACAGTTCTCGCGTATAACTGAGTCAGTGCTTGAAGTATTTGAATTTTAGTACATTTTTTAACTATTAGTTTACATTTTGTTAATATTTAACCATTAGTAGCAAAATGTAACAATTAGTTATTTTTCAAAAAACCGGGCCTAAGTAAGTTAAATGCGGTCCAATCTTAATAAAAAGTCCGGTGCTATCATAAAATGTGTATAATCAAAAAATGTGTACATAAACCTAGAACTCCGACTGAGGTCTTTTCTGCTCGGCTTCCCGCGTAACTCACGAAAGGACCCTCCTCGCTTGGCGCGTCGCTGGAAGTTAAAGGGTTAACTGTAGCTCAGTTACCCTGCTGGTTTTAGCAGGGAAACACCTAAGGTCAAATAGTTCGTAACACCTAAGGTAGCCAAAAGGTTGACAACAAAACCTTATTTGTAAGCAAGACGTGTTGCGAACTTTTTGGAGCTCATTCCACTATTCCCCGTTGACAATCCCCGTCAATTGGAGCTATATTAGGATTTTATTTTTAACGTAATGGGGATTAATAAACTTTTTAATTCATAAATCCCCATTTTAAGCTCCAATTAGCGTTGACTGGGATTGTCAACGAGGAATAGTGGAATAAGCCCTTTTTGGCTACTTTGGGTGTCACGATTCACAAACTATTTGACGCTGACTGTACTATAGAAATTGAAGTGTTGACTTACCATCGGGTATGCCAGGGATCTTGGGCCAGTAGAGTCCCTTTGGATAGTAAATTACAAATATTTTTTAATAAAAAAACAAAAGAGAAAAGACGGTTTTGTGTTCGATTACAATATGCTTCGCGGTGTAGGTGTCTCCTTTTGCTCGCAATTGACAAAATTAATAGATACTTACCAACTTAGTGAACTATATCACAGTTCTGTAGATAAAAGAAAAAATAACTTATTTGTGAAAAATAGTCCACCAAAGTGATAATAGTGAGTACGCTTGATTGCTGGTGTTAATTCGTAAACCGTGGTAAGCACTTTCAGCTTATAATGTGGGTGTTGGCGAAAATATTGACACAATAACACAAAAAAGATTTCGCGTCCTTAATTATTGGGAGTGAAAAAATAAAATAAATAAAAACAATCACAAAACATTTATTCCAGTCATTTAATAACATTTGCTCAAATTATATAGGTTCATTCATAAAAAACATACAAAAAGGCATTCTTTATACATCACTTTGCATGGACGGTATTGTTAATACTTTTAAAAAATACAAATATGGTGGATACATGAATTTAAAATTGCATTTAATAATCACAACAGATCATTTTGTACATTATTTTCACTTACAGAAAAAAGGGTTTGCCTAAACACTGCAATATGTTGAATTTTATCTTTATACACATCATATTTTACATTAACATTAACAAACAATAAATAAGTTATCACGATTTTGAATCTTATCACAATATACAAAAATCTGACTATTTGTTCATCATAAAGATTTTATAGGGTTTAATCTAACGCTGGAGATGTTATGTATAGCAAAAATAGATAACATAAAGTTGGGTTGACCTTCCCAGCGTTTGACAGGCGAAGACGGGGGCGAACTATAGTCGAAATAAATTAAAAATAATGTTTTACTTATGTTCAGTGTTGCCAATGTAAAAAAATACAAAAAATGGGCGGAAATCAAGCTTGAAGCAACTACATTCAAGTTTTCATGTATTAACACAAGTTTTTGAATTATTTGACAGTGAACAATAATTTGGTTTAACAATTTGATGATAGGTATAAATAATAACTTGAAAACTTGGGCTAATAATATAGACAACGGCATGAAATTACTGTGATAAAATTCAAAATCTAAGCACATTAAGTAAAATCAACGTACAGTGCGAATTATCTAGATAAGCTGAAGCGCCTGCATCAGTGTTGCTACTTGTGAAAATGATTGATACGCTTACAATAAATAAATAAGATGGTAACTATTTTAGGACAAGGGCATTCACGCTCTATGTAGATTACTAATACTTTAGATAGAATTATTACCTTTTTGACAGCTGTCAATCCGAAAATATTAATTCATTTTAACTTTACATGATGATTAAACGCATGAGTGCTTACATTAACAATGATACATTACTAAACTAAGAGAGAACTGCCCACTGTCCTTTATTCAGTAAATGATGTAATCAATCGAATCGCTGATACAAAGCAAAATTACTATTACCGCACAGTCTGTTTCAATCCATTCAATAAAAGTAGTTATTGCAATCAATACAAATACTCGTAAACTTACACTATGGTGTCTTTAAGTACCTTTGCTATTAATATTTTAATTTTTTACAAAATGGCTCAATACAGACTGTTTTTTTGCCAAAACTGTAAACAAACAATTTTTTGAGTTTTCGGTAAATAATTGTTTTATAATGCATGTAACAATCAGAATAATGTTTCAAAATGGAGCAAGAAGTTTTTCTTACCATAGCTTCTCTGTCCTTTATACAGGGTATCCCAGAATGGGTGAATCAAACTGATAGGGGAGGTAGCTCTACTAATGTACTATCCCTAAAAAATATGAAAAAAAAGTGCTCTAAACTCCAAATCTAGTCATTATGTTCAAAAGTTTGTTTACAGATAAACGAACCGATCATGTACAATTAATATTAGTAAGAAAAAAGTACAAATAAACTCCAAACGCAGCAATTATAGCCAGATACTTAGGCAAAGCTGATTTATTTTAACTTTTTCAAAAAAATTTTTTTTTGTTTCCTTATGCGCTTTATTTTTTTTCACATCTTTTAGGGATAGTACATTAATAGAGCTCCCTCCCCTATCAGTTTGATTCACCCATTCTGGGACATCCTGTATTATCTTAGTAAATATTTAGTATGTTTACAGTTCAGCATAATATAATCGACTAGCACATAACTTTAGCCAGGGTCCTTACGTGGAGAACTCGCGGAGTTTGTCGACGACTTCGTGGCGGTTTTTGTTGAGCCAGTGGATGTTGACGGTGGCTTTCTCGATGGCCTGCTGCACCGCTAACTTGGCCTCTTCCAAGTATTGCGTGTTGTCCTTGTACCAGGCTAAGAACTGGGGAACGATCAGATATGTGATTAGTTTGTTTTAAGAAAATTGAGACGATTGGATGCAAAAATTTACATGTAATGCCGGTAGATGGCTATTTCACCCGAGTAGTTTTTTTTAATAGTGTGAAATTAGAGCAAGTCTTTAGATTTTTTGTGAAAATATTGGTAGATAGCGATATTTAAGAAGTAAAAGATGTGTTTTCTAAGACAATTAATGCAGATATTTTACGTACAGTCAACAGCATTGACTACGTTTTTATAGCAAAATCAGATCAGTACAAAGACATTAATTTAGGTACCACAGCGTTTAGCTTGTTATTTAATTATTTGTAATGTTTGTAGATATCATGTCTTGGCTTGATTATTTTATTTGAACCTTTCCGAGTCTTTCATATCAATTCTTACAAAAAAAGTTTGAGTGTACATACTTCGTCAAGATCCTTTTGCGTGGTGAATTGGTCTAGAAGGATCTTGATGATGGACCCCAGCCGGCGGCTCTGGCTGCTGAAACTGGAACAAAACAGTGAAATGATAATAGAAAGCAAGTATTAAGCGTCCGGCTCAAAACGTCCATTGGTCTAATCAAAGCGTCTAATTTGAAACAGCCCTAAGGAAGAAATATAGGATCATCAGGTCTCTTCATCCCGTCTGGCCAATGTGGAGTTTAGGTAGACCAAAAATACTTTATTTGAGTCTGATAAATTGGAGAGGGTCATGTTTGTGCAGACTAATGATGAGGACGTCCAAGTTATTCCCCCTATACCTATTCCTGAGCATCGTGCAAATTGCCTAAAGTCCGGTCGCCGAGCAGATAGAATTTTGTCCAATGACCCCAAGCTACCCATCCTTATCGCTCGCGCGTAATTATATTGCTGTCGCGACTGTGCGACGGGCGCCCGCAGTGAGTGTGCGAACGCGACAGCAAATTACGCGCCGCCGATAAAGATAAGCTTGGGGTCATTGTACGTATTTCTATCTGCTCGGCGACCGGACTTTAGACACAAGTCTTTGACCGTGCCTGAAATGTAATTTCTTGTCTTGAATGTAGCCACGATAGCCGAACGGTGTTCGAATCCCACCGCCGCTCGACTATTGTGGTGAGCCTACTCGTAACACAAGCTAAAGGCCTATTCAGACCTAAGCGGTATTCGCTACCGTCTGCGGCAGAGAAAACCCAGTGGGTATGCGGTAATAATACTGTTCAGACCTAAGCGGTATTCGCTACCGTCTGCCATGTATCTCTACCCACAGCGGCAGCGAATGTCGCTCAGGTTTGAATAGGCCTTTATTCAGCTTACCACGAGGGGCTAAAGCAGTGGTTCCCAAACTTATTTAGTCTACTGCCCACTTTGATTGTGAAATAATGTGTTTGTTTGAGGAATACTCACGCCTTGTATATGTCCTGTATGCGCGTGTAGATGAACTCCTTGGCGAGGTAGTAGCCGACGGACGAGCGCGTGATCGACGTGATGACCAGCGCCGCGTCCTGCCGCCGCACCTCCGAGCCTTCCGTTATCGCCCACTCGAGGTACCTGGAGGAATCAGTACCACTTAATAGTAATCTATGACAAGCTATTAATTGGGATGTTTCCTGGGTCAAAAAGCAAGAGTTTTAATTAGTCCGTCAGTTAACTTATCAAAAAATACTCTACACGTATTTTTCACTTTTTCAAACTAATGATAATTTAAAGTGATAAAGCGCGCCAAAGTTCATAAGAAGAGGCCCGTGACGTCAATGCTTGTATAAAAGTGACGCACGTTGTGACGTCGTGCGGAACTTCAACGCACTATAACTATGTAATTATTTGTTAGATTGACAAATAAAAATATAATGATTGTGTCCAATATTTTTTGATATTAAACATGACGGACTAAAAAATTTTTTTTAGGAAAGTAGCCTATTTCTCCCTCTTTGATTTAAGTAACGGTCTAGGATGGTAGGGTATATTGTATAAATGTTAGCTGTGTGGTTTCGATACAGTAGAACAGGACCACTCCACTCTTCTGACAAATACAGGTGACTGACGGTTTTCATTTTCTATCGACATTTTCAGAATTCCAAGAAACAATCATTTGTGCCATGGGATCACGGATAATTAAAATTACCCGTGGACCCGGTAATGGGTCGACCCGGGACCACAGGTAAACACTACTAACTACTACCAGGCCTGTTCATCTCCGCGAGTTTACATCGAAAACAAAACACGCACGATGGCCCACCTACAGGATACTATTCGACAAGGCCTCACATACGAGCGAACATTGACTCACGCACGCGTATTCTTGTGTATGATGGAAGAAAATAAAGAAAATGGTGTACTAAATACTGTGCAGTATTTAACTGCCTAAATAATAATAAAAACACAGAATGTACTTTTTTAAATTGCCTCAAGACACTGAGAGGTAAATAAGTAGTTAATATTATTCATGATAATTCATGCTAAATCATGTAGGTATTTCCTCCGCCATTTTCCGCAGTTTGGCACCTCACGTCACATCATTTTACCGAAGTCAGCCCTATAGCTTCGGCGCAGTGCCGATCACTGACGTTTGTCAACAAAATGGTGCTTGACTCTTGAGACAGGCTAAATTACACCATATTGTTAATNGGTTCAAAGAGGCGTGGCGTCACCCGACCTTCCGGAAGTTCCGCGCCGGCTAAAATAATTTCAAGATTACGTCACCCGACCTATCGGTAGATCCTCGGGAGCTTGAGCGATTGGAAAAACATTTTATGATCAGTTACTCGTAGTAGCGATTATTTAGAGCTTAGATAATAAATTATAGTTGTTGCAATTCACAAAGCTTTGCATGTAGTTAATTACATTAATCAGTACAGGCTTCAATTTTGTTCAGTCTTTTTGTTTATTGATAAATGAAAATATCATACTAAAATTGCATACATATTTGTTTGTATCGGTCTGGGTGTTTTCTTTCCATAACACAGGCCTACAAAAAAAAAATATTTTCTGGTGCAGCTCTTTTTGTTTATACAGTCGATAAAGTGGGTAATGGACAATATATTCACATACTTCATTTCAACTCATCAGCTCTAGTTTGTCGACTACCCTCATTTTAATCTTTTTCCCGCCTTGTTCGCAAATAGTCATTATTACATTAATATCGATAAACTTTATGATACTATTTTAATATGGCTAGTAAGTCCAGATGTTGTGTTAACACAACATCTGGAACGATCCTGATTCATTTTGATAAGTTTGTGGTGAATACTACTGAAAGATCAGCGTCAAACCATAAAAAACACGGTAAATCGTTTGTATTTTGCTCACTTTGGTATTGAAATTCGGCACAAAAATTAAGTGTAGGTGCTTCATATTGTATGTAAAATATGCATTGAATATCTGCGACGATAGGAGAAAGGCACACGTAAGTTTTTGAAGCTTGGAGTGCCTATGATATGGCAAAAATAGCCAATTTTTGCTGTTAATTTCACAGAATTTTCCTGGTTGAAGTACTGAAAAACAAAAGAAGGTAGTTTTGATGGACTTCAAATAAGTCTATTAATAAAAGACACCACTGAGATTTCTATGAATTATGTGGAACGGCTTGCGTGGATATCTTTTGTACCAGTTGTACAAAAATCACTATGAGCAATGAGCATCACACACGGTTACCTGGAGTGCATTACCGCAGCAAAATTTTTATAAATGTTGTGCTTTAGAGAGTCGAGAGTATAGCAGATAATTAGTCCATCGTGAGCAGAAATTTGTCCACTAATAGCAAAATTCGTTCAAATTATAGTTTTAAAGTTATTAGGAAAACACAGATTTTGCTGGGTAACGTTTCAAACATTACCCTGGCAAAAATTTTTTTTGAAAGTCGTTCTATCCCGGAACCAAATACATGGATAGATAGCTCTTGTTGCGAAGTAATTTGTCCACGAATAGCAAAATTTGTTCGTGTTCCGGTTCTCAAGTTATTTAGAATTCTTACGCATGGTGGCGAGTTTACATCGAAAACAAAACACGCACGATGGCCCACCTACAGGATACTATTCGACAAGGCCTCACATACGAGCGAACATTGACTCACGCACGCGTATTCTTGTGTATGATGGAAGAAAATAAAGAAAATGGTGTACTAAATACTGTGCAGTATTTAACTGCCTAAATAATAATAAAAACACAGAATGTACTTTTTTAAATTGCCTCAAGACACTGAGAGGTAAATAAGTAGTTAATATTATTCATGATAATTCATGCTAAATCATGTAGGTATTTCCTCCGCCATTTTCCGCAGTTTGGCACCTCACGTCACATCATTTTACCGAAGTCAGCCCTATAGCTTCGGCGCAGTGCCGATCACTGACGTTTGTCAACAAAATGGTGCTTGACTCTTGAGACAGGCTAAATTACACCATATTGTTAATGACATTAAGCAAGCATACATTATTTTAAATACCTTCGCGAAGTAAAACTTCTGTACGTAGTACTTATTATTATTCTGTGCTAATACCAGGCCTCTCCAATTCGTCTGGCCAACATGACAAGTGTAGGCTTAAAAAGAAGACCTTTTGCATCTTGTAAATTACGTAGCGTCGTGTTCCTGCAGTGTCAGCTGATGATGGTAAACATCAAATTATATTGTTTAGTTTTCTATTTTTCCCACAGTTTCTTCTGTGTATATTTTGATTCAGATTAATAATAAACAAGATATCTATAGGTACAGCGTGTTTGGGATATGGCTAGCGATAATTTAAGGCGATGTTGTGATGTCAATGGGTAAATTTTTTATATCACTACATAAATATTGTTTGTATTTCTTATGACAATGTGCCCGTCTTACAAATAAAAAAAAAATGCATTTGTTAACCAATAATATGTGTCATTAAAAGAACATAAAAATGAAAAATAATGACCAAAAACTAAAAAAAAAATATTCAGTAAAAAAATTCATGAATTTTACTGTTTGTCAAAAAAATTATGAATTTTACTGTTTGTCAAAAATTTTATGAATTTTACAAAAAAATCAGTTTTGACGGGCACGTTTTTGGGGATATTAACCACACTGTAGAAGTGTCCACTCACTGCGCCAGTATCCAAATCTCCCTGGTGCAGGCCAGGCCTCGCAGCAGTACGTCTCTGGCAGCGGCCACGTTGGAGCGCTGCACCCGCGCGAGGGCGAAGCGCCATTCGCGCACGCCGCCGCGAGCCATCGCCTCGCAGTACACTGTGCGACGGAGGTCCAGCGGAATACTGCGGGAAAAGAAAGAATACGCAATGCTCAGTTATTATGTGTATCTGTTACTGTAAAAGCTCGAACTACGGTTAATCTTAAGATTTAAATGTAGTTATTTTAAATGTAAGTATTTCTGAAAATACGACGACTTTTTCGAGCTTTTACCATTCGAATTCAGTATATGCTAGGTTTTACCTCTGTCAGCTGGTTGATGTTGGTTTTAGGAATAAAACAATGAGTACTTAATTCTTAATGGAGAATTATAAAACGATCGACTAAAAAATAACTTAGCGACTGATGATGGCATACTTACTGTTTTAATAACTTAAGCGGTATGAATTTGAGTAAGCGAAAAATTAACTTAACTAACGACGAATATTGATTAATATAATCAAATGCAGAACGAGCTTACAAAAAGTGGGTTATGTTTAATCCATTTTAGATATTAAAATTCTGTCCGTGCGACTACATTACTAAGTGAGCGACTAGAAATACAAAGATGTAAACTTCAATATTAAGATAGAATCGATTTTTTCCAATTGAAGTAATTTCTGATGATGATGATGATGATGAGATGCGCTGAGCATGTTATGACATGTTTTGTTTTTCAACATTTACCGTGCCATTAATGTAAATCCTAAGATTTACTAACGAAATGGTGGTAAGAGTTCGAATCGCAAACCTTTTGGGACATTTACCATTAGAAATTGGTAGATCTTAGGTTTTACTGGAATATCTTAGGATTTACTGCAATTCGAGCTTTTACAGTAACATATCCATAATGTCTGAGTCTCGCCTGATTTACCTACCTACTTATTTGTTTGCTCGCGTCCGTTCGTTACGTGCATGGCTGCGGTGACGTTTGAACTGTACTGACCTACCCACCTTGCTTTTCTAATAACACATATTTCTGAATTACAATCTAGATCTAAGCAAAACAATTTTGTTAAAATATTTTTTTTGAAAATTGTAATTTGTCATGTGTTTTATAAAATAAAATAAAAATAAAATATAGATTAATTAGTAATTGATAAGCCTGTACACTTGTCTAAAATCGGATTATCGAGGCGTTTTATCGATTTTGCACAATCCTACTAATATTATAAATGCGAAAGTTTGGATGTCTGGATGTTTGTTACTCTTTCACGCAAAACTACTGAACGGATTTTGATGAAACTTTACAGTATTATTGTTTATAACTCAAATTAACATATAGGCTATAATTTATGACGATAAGTGACAAATAAATTTCAATAAATAAATAAGACGTGTCTAGAAAGCGCCATCTATCGTCATTGGTTAAAATCTACAGCGCTGGACCAAAAATTTTGACGTTCGTAAATTATTCATGCCGTGAAACGCCATCTATCAACATCATTAGTAATCAAACGAGGTCCACGCGTACAAAATCGCGGGCGGCTGCTAGATAGTCGATAAAGTATAAAGTCGTGGATTAGATTTTATCATGGCGCGTCCTAGCCTGACTGTGAGGGGGATTACGAATTAGACCATTAATAAAATAAGGGATGTCATTTCCAAAGGAAGGTAGGTACTCCCCCTGGAAATCGTATACTCTTTCATACCTATTTTAGTAGGTATCTAAGCGTATATAGAGGCTATCAGTGCAAAAGTGGTGTAATCCACAGTTTTTAAAGGTGGCTTACGTCACTATTGCATTGAAAGATTATATTGTAACGAATGTATTTTACACCAAAACCATACTAAAAAAAACTGTGGGTTACACCACTTTTGCGTTGATAGCCTCATATACAGAGTGTTAGGTAAATGGGTATATGAGCCGACACTAGCCCATGTTAACATGGGCATATAAATGGTATGGTGAAGTCAGAAAATTGATACCTATCTCTATTTTAATTATTTTAATTTTTATACAAATCAGATTTTATAAAATTTATTTTGTATGAAAATTTAAAAAAATTAAAATGATGATATCAAATTTCTGACTTCACCATACCATTTATATGTACATGTTAACATGGGCTAGTGTCGGCTCATATACCCATTTACCTAACACCCTGTATAGTACGTCATAAAGACTCAAACTTCTGCGGTGAACACTCACGGGTTGTCCTCATCAGGTCGAGGAGAGTTCATCCAGTCCTGGAATAATTCCAGCGCGTTCTCCTGGCAGCCCGGCACGTTCATGCGGCACGCCCACGAGCTCAGCGTCGTCTGGAGAACAATACAAGCGTTTTAAACCTCTATCACAACTAAAACTAGTCAAATATGGGCAATCGTTTAGATACTCAACAGTTGGCACTACTGCCAGTGACAGGACCTTACTCTACAGTAGAGATTCAGCCAAACCAACGCGATCAGCCCGCGTGCAGCGATGGCGATCAGACTTAAAAGCTTTGATCGCCATCGCTGCACGCCGGCTGATCGCGTTGGTTTCGCTGAAACTTAACACCTACAGGGTATTTTTTTTTTAAATATCCTTGGACATTTTACACTGCGCTTCTAGTCCCAAACTAAGCAAAGCTTGTACTATGGGTACTAGACAACGGATATAAACATACTTAAAGACTTTTTTTTTGTAAATAAATACTTATTATACATAGAAAACACCCAGTCCAATACAAACAAATATGTTCATGCACACAAATGTTTGTACTGTGTGGGAATCGAACCCGCTACCTCCGGAATAGTAGTCCGTTTCGAACCACTACACCAAACGGCCGACAAACGGTATTGAGGGCTATCATTTATAAACTTGACAGTTGGCACCACTGGCGAATGACATGACCCTACTCGATGAATAACATAGCGCCATCCTGATGAGTACAGATGCGATAGTCCTCCTATCACTTTAGCGCTCAACGGTTGGCGTCATTGTATTAACCATTGCAAGTGCATCATAGCAAGTGACAGGACATTAAACTACAGTAAAACAAACTACAATGGCGCCAACGGATGAGCGTTAAAAAGATAGCCTCGTTCGTCACACTTCCATTAGAACTTAAAGGTCTTATTACAAAAAAGTTAAACCTGGGACGAAGTCTGGTTTAAAATGACCTATCCATTCTAAATGTCAATTCAAACAAGGGTTCAAACTGAGTCTAACTTTTTGTAATATGGGGGACAGGTTAATCTTTAATCTACTGGGGCTTTGCATCTAACAGCTAGTTAGATGCAAAGCCCCAGTAGATTAAAGATTCAAGGAGACTGTAAAAAAGGTAATTGCAAAGTTATAGAATTTGGGACTATACAAATGTACAGACATGATGTATCACAGAAAAATGCATTCAGCACCACATGGAATAATGTGCTGATAAAAAAATGTGCTCATCTAAGCCTAGGCGCAGACCATCGATTTTTCGTCGGCCGATAGTTTACTTAGTCGGGCAGTTGATCAGTATGGGCATGTATGGGAGTGCGGACACTACGCCGATTCGATTTGGCCGATTCTTCATACAAATTAAAATCGGGCACAACTATCGGCCAACTAAAAATCAGTGGTCTGCGCCTAGTCTAACAATAACCTGGGTATCTTACCTGCATCTTCACACTGTTAAGGTCGTCCCCATTAATGATCTGCTTGGCGGCCAGCCCGCCGGACTGACGGTAGGTGTCAGTAATAAGCCGCCGGACGAACTTCTGGAAGGCGCCGTAGTCCGGCGACCGGCGGAGCACCGACTCGAGCTTGGCTAACACGTTTAGACCGTTGGACAGAGGTAAGTACTCGGTCTCGTGCTTGAGGTAGCTCGCTAGTCTGGGGCAGAAGATATTTTCAATTACACAACGAAAACTTAAATTAAGCTTAGGCGCAGACCACAGACTTTCAGTTGGCCGATAGTGTGGTCCCGGAAGGGTAGATAGAACCTACGAGAGCTTGCCATAAAAAAAAACCGGCCAAGTGCGAGTCGGACTCGCGCACCGAGGGTTCCGTACAAACCTGCAAGGTTTACAAAGTTCGTTCATTACGACAATCGAGTCATAACTATGGTATTTTTATTGCAAAATGAAATTCTTAAGTTTATATTTATTAAAAAATATGTATTTTGTAATGTAACTAAAAATTTATGGTGTTCGTAATTTTTCCTTTATCTATGCTATAGGACGTTGCTTCGTACCAAATTTCAAGATTCTGAGTTCACGGGAAGCACCCTGTGGTTTTGATTCCCTTGCAAGTGTCGAAAATTTGCGGCATAAACGGCTGTATCTTTTGATTGCGTTGGCTTAGAAGTTTGATTTTTTCACAGCTTCAAGGGACAGTAGACCTGAGTAATTGATATAAATTTCAGCTTCATACCTCCACGCGTTCCTGAGAAAAATGGTCTTGACAGACGGACGGACGGACGGACAGACGGACAACAAAGTGATCCTATAAGGGTTCCGTTTTTTCCTTTTGAGGTATGGAACCCTAAAAATTATGCAAACATCAGGTCTGCAACCCGTTTAGCAAGTGTGGCGAGCGCAAATCAAGATCCTCTCTAATTACTTAACCAGAGGCAAATGGAAGATTTAACCTACGCTCCCCACACTGGCCAGTCGAGTTGGGAAAGCTTGATACTAGCATAATATTTGTCCTTATGTCACCTCTTTCGAAATTACAAGTATTATGTAAAAGATTCAAATTATGATGGTGTATAGAGTTCACGACTCCTGGGAGCTGCTAGATGCCAGGCAGTTTCTAGGGCAGTCGTGTGGTAGCCGGTGACAGTTTATCTTCCTCCAATAGGCCTAGGATGTGCGCCGCGATAAGCGGTTATCGCACCATTTTATCGATTTTGACGTCGATAAGAGTATGTCACGGCGCGCATCCTATTCCAACTGGACAGTGATTTTATTGGCGATCAGTTGCAGATCCTGGCTACACAGAAGTTCCAGCGGTAGGAACGAGAGGTGAGAATAGTTTTGAAGTTCTGTGTGGTACTCACTGTAAAGCAGTGTTGTAGTCGAGCTGGTTATTCCAGGCCAGCGCGAAGGCATCAGACAGCAGTTGCACGCGGCCCAGCACTGGTAGTTTATGGTGATCTCCACCAGTCAACGCACCGACTAGGAGTTGCCAGTTGCGCTTGTCGTAATTCACGCGGTACGGCGCTGTGGGACAAAGTTTTGTGAATTAATAAGTGTAGGATTGTTATTTGTGATGCTTGTACTATCGGCCACAGTTCCAGCTTCCCATTTCCGGTCACGTCGTCTCGTTCTATCGCGTATCGCAAAGAATCAAAATTTGATGAGAGCGAGAGAAAATACGAAAATGGGTAGCTGGAACTGTGGCCGATAGTACTTCCCGGATCGGACCGGATTCAGAAAGATATTCAAGTAATCGTACGACCGCCAGTAATTTGTAAGACGTCATCTCACAGAAATATAAGGTCAAGACGGTCTATAAGGTTTCTAAGGCTATAAAGGTTGCAGGAAAGCGCTTAAACGCTTCCAACTGGCATCTGGAAATCATTGGGGAAAGCACAACTTTCAGTGGACGTCCCGTGACTGAAATATTGAGATAAGATTCAGTCCAAAAACCTCTTGCTTCTCTGGTATATACGAAGATCTTTTCTTGTTTATCAAATTGTCTAAATAAGGGCCTCTGCTAAAATTATGGTGGTTCTGTATCGAAAATTTGTATTTGCAGTGTACAGGTGTGCATTTCCATGCATTAATAGGCATGGAGGCCCTAAGCTGTGGTATCTGGAAAAAAATTCTAGGGATATTTTTAAATTATTATAACAGCTTAATATTTGCCTTAATGCCTGGATGCGGGCAGCGCAAGACCGTTCGTTGTGGAAATCCTTGGGGGAGGTATTTGTCCAGCAATGGACGTCATTCAGCTGAAACAAGAATGTATTGACACCAATGGCGTATTTAACTATACCATCCGAGACCCGTGGCAAATAGGGATGTTTCCTGGGTCAAACAGCAAGAGTTTAATTAGTCCGTCAGTTAACTTATCAAAAAATACTCTACACGTATTTTTCACTTTTTCAAACTAATGAAAATTTAAATAATTCATTCATAAGAAGAGGCCCATGACGTCAATGCTTGCATAAAAGTGCCGCACGTTGTGACGTCGTGCGGAACTTCAACGCACCATAACTATGTAATTATTTGTTAGATTGACAAATAAAAATATGTGTCCAATATTTTTTGATATTAAACATGACGAACTAAAAAAATTTTTTTAGGAAACTAGCCTATTCTGTGCGTGGGGCCCTTGGCGTATCTAGGGTTACCTATATTTAAGGGACTCGCGTGGCATTTTGGCAAGCCACTAGTTACGCCACTGATCGACTTACCAATCATATCATAGTTGAACAGCACCCATTCTTCCGCCCCGGCGCCGTGTTCGAACCGATGCTGCGTGCTCACTCCCTCATCATCGGCCAGCCACTGCAGGTCGCCCGTGGGAGAGGATGCCTCCGACTGGCAGAGCACCTTGAGAGGCACCCACCATGACGAGTCGGTGCTGCCACGAGAACCCATGTTGAGGTAGCGTTTCTGGGGAGGTGGGTCTTGGTCAGTAGGTAGATGAGCAAGTGAACTTCATAATCCACCTATTTTTGTCTTATTTTTTCACCGTTTAAACCTTCCCTAGAATATGACAAATATTTCAAAACTAAATCGGCCCAGTGCAGCCGTTCCGAAGTTTTGGCGAGACTAGAGAATAACAACCTATACAGATATAAATAACGCATCAACGCCTGGGGAAGACCTTTGTCCAGCAGTGGACGTCATTTGGTTGAAACGAACGAACAAAACTTACCTGTGTAACAGCCAACGTGTTATCACTGTAATCCCTGGTTACCATCAGCACAGGATACCCAGTCTGCTTGGTCCACGTGTCCATAACTTCTTTAACGGTGACGTCACGTGCCAGGGTTCCGTACTGACGGCTGGCTGCCGTCAGTTCTTCCCAGAGGGCGTCTTGGGCGGCGTTCTGGTAGGAGTACTTTACGAGGTATCTGTGGGGAACAAAATTATCAAAATCAAAGCTTTTATACAGTACTTAATTAGGCCTTTTCCAGGGCGCTTATACTAGTCCTGAATATAGCTTGCCCTACCACCACTTCGGGACAACATATGGGCTGGTGCTGAAAAGAAGTGGCTTAAGAAACTCAATCACATTTATGATTGAACTTTTTTCATTATTATTATTTCTTATCGATTTGTTTGAGTATCAAATAGGTACCTACGTTTTATAGCACACTGATAAAAAAAGTGCCAATTATAGCTAGAAAACGATCAGCCCAGAAAATAGGTTTAAAAAAAACTGTGCTAAAAAAAGTGCAAGAAACTCAGTTTTTTTTCAAGGGCAGTGAGTGTGGTATGGTTAATGTTCTAAAAGTTATGTTGGGTCGTACAAAAGTGCACTTTATAAAGCCAGCAATTACCTCCTGTGAAGAAATCAATTCGTTATTTATTTTCAGTCAATCCTTCGGGAACTTACTTGTGCAGCGCCTTCCGGAACACCTCCTCTCCCAGGAACATGGTCATCATCCGGATGAGGGTGGATCCCTTGCGGTACGAGATCTCGTCGAAGATCTCATTGATACGCTTCGGGTCGTCGATCGGGACCGACACCTAATTTACAGTCTATATTAGTATGTTATGTAGGCGCCTATACACGTCACAAATATAGCTTGCCCTTACACCACTTCGAGACATATCGACTAGTGCTGAAAAGAAGTGTCGGAAGAAATTTATTACGTAAACCTTAGATGATTTCAGATATTGCAACAAAGTGGATATATAGCATATTAGCCTATATTATTATCACCATTTCAACTATGAAAGTCCACTGAACAATATAAACCTCCTTCAATGATTTCCATTCTAGATCTGTTTGTTGCAAATTCGCTCTGGGGGCGTAATATGAGTTTGCATCAAACGTATTGGATATGGAGTGCGTAAAAAATCTATGAAGATTTTAGTTCTTGAAAGTATCCCCTAGGGACGCTGTACAACCCGTCATACATGTCGGGAACGAACACGTTGATGTAAACTCACGCTAAGCCCCCTGATTACAATAACAAAAGATACCACAGTGCCTAAGCATAATAGAAACCGGTTTTTAAACCTTGTAGCAATGCATCTCATTTTGCATTCTTTACGTGTGCCTCCTTACGTGCTTAAACTAGTAACCGAACTGTGTAGGTGTGACACTACTATTAAAAACAATGATTCAATCTAACAAGACCCAAACTCACAGGGTGCGAAGACTCCAAAGCGTCCAGTCCCAGCACCGAAATAAGATTCTCCACCGCATATCCCTGGTCGGCGCGCCATGTTGGTTCTACCGCTGCCACGCCGACCGACGCCATGAAGGTGGCGAACCCTTCGTTGAGCCACAGGTCGGACCACCACTTCATGGTCACCAGGTTGCCGAACCACTGGTGGGCTAGCTCGTGAGCGATCACCTGGGGAACAATGATTTATTTATTTATTTATTCATGAATAGAACGGTAGTACCAATTACACTATTCATTCGTCAGAATAACATTTAAGTACTTATAAACAACTAGCTGACCCGGCGAACTTTGTTCGCAATTTAATGGCAATAAATAAGCAGACTTTTTTTATTTCGAACGGGATAAAAAGTATCCTATGTCCTTCTCCTGGCTCTAAACTACCTCCCTGACAATTTTCAGCTAAATCGGTTCAGCCGTTCTTGAGTTATAAGTGGAGTAACTAACACGACTTTCTTTTATATATATAGATTTAACTTAACTTAATTTAGGAAAAGTACATAATCAGATGCGATTATTTTCACAGTAACCCAAACATTCTGCTAGTAACCCCTCTGCAAATACGTCACATTTTGGGTTTTGGTCCAGGAAACGATTGAGAGCACTTAATGTACGTGGTATAAGTGATTCCGATCTTGAAACCGTGCGACATGGAGGAACAGCAAACAATGCATGCCTTCGACTACGATAATAGTTGTTGGGGAAAGAAAAGCTTAAATCATACAACTTAAAAATAGAACACTTAATCTTTTAAATGTAAAGAGTACAACTGATATCTGGGGCATCTCTGTCAAGATAGTCAAACACATTATTGATATAATTTCCCCACAGTTAGCGATAATATTCAATAATTGCATAGAGAAGGGCATCTTCCCCGACCTCATGAAACATAGTAGACTAATGCCATTATTTAAGTCTGGTAGCAAAACCGACCCTGGTAATTATAGACCCATTTCTATCTTGCCCGCTCTAAGCAAGATTTTTGAAAAAATCATACAGGAGCAACTTATGATTCACTTTGGCTCTAATAAACTATTTCATAGTGAACAATATGGTTTTACCAAGGGTCGTTCCACTACCAATGCCGGGGTTGCACTACTTAAACATATCTTCGAGGCTTGGGAGAATTCTCAAAATGCACTAGGGGTCTTCTGTGATCTCTCAAAAGCTTTTGACTGCGTAGAACATCAAACGCTAATTCGCAAACTGCGTGGGGTGAAGGACTCGG